GCTGCAGATAGCCCTCGTGTAGCTTTGTGGTGATGACTAGCTGCCTTCCTTCTAGTCTTACACTGCTAAATTAGGGACGGCTAGTGCAGGTAGCCCTCGTGTAGCTTTGCGCGAAATTCATAACAAACAAATGTATTCTTTCGAAATTCTACAGGTATTTGAAGAACTTGTAGCATTTCGCCATAATTTAATTCTTCGTATTGTTAGCCGACACTGGGCAGCTTGTACATAATTGAACAGAGTTGTTCAACATTTGGTTAACAACAAGTAAAAGCTTGGAATGCTCTATTCTTTCATTGGGGGGTGTCTCTGTGAGCCAGACTAGTTTCGAAGAATTCCACTCCTCATCACTGACCCTGGACACTACCACCAATGAAATATCAGACCAAACCAAGCTTTTATAGTAGTGAGGTATCGAAAATCGAAATAGTATAAACACTATAAAGGCTTGGTTTGGTCTGATATTTCATTGGTAGTAGTGTCCAGGGTCACTGATGAGGATTGGAATTCTCCGAAACTAGCCTGGCTTACAGAGACACCCCCAATGAAAGAATAGACCATTCCAAGCTTTTACTTGTTGTTGTTAAACAAATGTTTGTTATTAGCAGTTCTTCTAAACTTCTAAATCCTGGGATTTTGAAAAATTATTATATTTCTCGGAACAGAGGGTGAGACTTGCTATCGACAGCTTATATTTACTTCTTTAATCTTGAGACTCAGAAAAAGAAATCATTTCCTAGAAAAGTAAGTGAGCTTTTCAAAGTGTTTCAGTTTTTCAGATCACCGCGTCTTACTTCTACATCTGCGATATTTTGAAGACCCTTTGATTTCTAAGGACCAGTTTCTTGTGTAATATGTCAATTATTTATGAATCGGTTTAACCGTCGTTAAAAACCTTTGCAAATACAGACAATCTAAATGCTGTCATGCAGGCATTTCACAATTAACTGTAATTCGAATGATAACTGATGACTGACTCATTGTTCTTGCAAAACCTCAGTTTGACTTAACCCTCCTTTCTTCGGCAAATCAAACAAGTGTGTTATTTCTCATCTCAAAGAAACATAAGTAAATTGAAGAGATAGTAGCTTTGTTTCTCATGAAAAGTAAATAAAACAGGGTGGGATAGAAGTAAACTCGGGGACGGATTGAGAAGCGCAAATGCCCTGGACTCCCCCGAATCGAAGGGGGACCCCGATTAAGAGAAACATAAATCATAAAATGGATGAAACATACGTTTGTAACTGTGTCGCGATAACAAATTGATTTTAGTCGTTTTATACAAACCCATTACTTTGTAATTTTTTATTAACATGTTCTTACAACTTATTCTTTGATACATATTTGCTCGACCACGTAAAAAAAACAAAACAATTCGTTTTCATTACTGTATATTTATTACAAATATTAGAATTGTGTTTGCCCGGACAGTCTTTGGATTCATGAGGTTCAGAATGAAATAAAAGTGAAACATTTAAGAATTCAATCTTTAAAGATATATTAAAACCTGACTTTAACAACTGAATAATATTTCGGATCCTAAAATTTAGAAATACAAATAAACGGATCTCTGATTTAGTAAAAGTCTTGAGAGTCCTGTACTTGACTAAATTCATCCTGATCGTAGCTTCAGAATTTCTACTGTATAATTATATCTATACTGACCATAGTTTCTGAATCCCGAGATTGTAAGAAAATCTATTGTGACCATAGCTACTTTACAGCTGTATCTATCTTGGCAGGTTTAGAACAATCTGATTTATAAACAAGTCTATCCTAAACTTAGCAACACTAATTAGAATCTTCAGATTATAAATAAATATATAATGACTTCAACAACTAGACTCATTGTTCACCAGATTTGATATAAATTATAATAAGAAATGGACTTCACTAGACTCTCGAAGTTTACGAACAAATGTTAACTTGTTTTATTAACCAGTTTTTAAAATGCACCAAACAGTTATTTCCTATATGTATTCCGGCTCGGGAAGCGACACCGAGAAATATCCCTCTAAGCAAAGCTATAATTTTGA